GAGTCCCCCTTTAAGCCATTTCAGCCAAATTCAAAAATGGTCCAAAAATCATAAAAATTGACCGAAAAAACATGAAAAGTGAGTCAAAAATCATGAAAAATGATAGGATTTTTGCTGAAAAAAATGGCTGAAAAAACATTAGCTAAAATTGGCTGAAAAATCTGGAAAAATGAACAAATTTGGCTGAAAATTGGTAGAAATCTGAAAATTGCACGAAAATCGAGTTTTCGGCGATTTTTAGATTAACCAGACGACTTAGGATAGTTCTAGAACGTCCAATTGCGAAATAACTAGTTTTGAAACGTCATGGTTGCGAAACGATCAGTTGCGAAATGGGCGGTTGGGAAATGGTCGTAGATTCAGTTCTTACGATTTCTGACATATTTTCGTGTTCTGTGTCGTTCCGCAACTGGTCATTTCACAACCGCGACGTTATAGAACCGGTTATTTCGCAGCTAGACGTTTCTAAAACGTCTGGTTGCGAAATGACCAGTTGCGGAACGACACAGAGCATGAAAATATGTCAGAAATCGTAAGAACTGAATCTACGACCATTTCCCAACCGCCCATTTCGCAACTGACCGTTTCGCAACCATGACGTTTTAGAACCGCGACGTTTTAGAACTATCTTGAATTCCCCAGTTGCGAAATGACCGGTTCTAGGGCGTCCTGGAAGACCTAGAATCCGTCATTTCGCAATTGTGACGTTTCGCAACCGTGACACTTCACAACTGACAGGTTCTACAAAGTCGCTGTTTCGAAACAGACCAAATCTAGAAAAAAGCATCAAAATCGGCTATACGACATTTCGCAACTGCGACGTTTTAGAACCAGTCATTTCGCAACTCTGACACTTTAGAAGCAGTTAACTCGTAACCACGACATTCTAGAACTTTTCATTCTAAAGCTGTGACGTTCTAGAACTGGCCAGAGTTGCGAAATGTCCCAAAGCTCTTTTCATGGTTTTTTTCAGAAATTTTCTGGTCATTTCGCAACCATGACGTTCTAGAACCGACCAAAGCCAAAGCTGCGAAACGTCTCAAGCCAAAATTTTAGATTTTTCGAAAAAAAAAAATTCTTCCAGAATCTTCCGCGCGTCTCGGAACCTTCGCGCCCACTGGTACATTGACCATCTGGGAAAGACGGTGAAAATTGAGAAGGTTCCCGAACCGACGTCTTCTGGAAATTGCAAGAAAACATCGTCGGAAAATTTGGAAGATCTGCTGGAAAGCGATTTTCGTGCTGAAAACGCTGAAAACGCTGAAAACGCTGAAAATTCGAGGGATTTTCGAGATTTCGAGTGCCCGAAACCCCCAAAACCCGAAGATTTGGATTCAGAAGACTCAGAGGATTCAGAAGATGAGCAATCCGAATTTTACGACCAAAAATCGTCAAAATCGTCGGATTTTCGAAATTCAACAG